CATCCATACAAACTTGTACAAGAATTTTCACAGCAGCCTTGCTCATAATTGACAAAAAAAGTAAAACCAACAAAACTGAATGGGAAAACAAAATGTGGTATTTCCATATAACATTATTTGGCGATGAAAAGGAATAAAGTAACGATACACGCTACAACATGTAGGAACCTTGAAAACATAATACCAAGTGAAAGAAGACAGACACAAAAGGCCACATGTTGTATGATTCCACCCATATAAAATGTCTAAAATATGCAAATCCATAGAAACAGAAAGTAGATTTAAGGAACTGGGGGGAGGGAGGAATGAGTGACTGTGGGTATGAAATTTCTTTGGGGGGATATAAAAATGGTCTAAAATTATATTGTGGTGATAGTTGCACAACCCAGTGAGTATAACGAAAAACAGTAAATCACACACTTTAAATGAGTGAACTGTATGGTATGTGAATTATATCTCAGTAAAGCCATTAAAAAATAGATGTAAAAGCATATAAGCAGGATGTCCCTGGCAGTCCAGTGGTTAAGACTTCATGCTTCCAATGCAGAGGACATGGGTTTGATCTGTGGTTGGGGAACTGAGATCCCACATGCCCTGTGGCATGGCCTAAAAATTTCACAACAACAAAAAAAGCGAACAAAAACCCATATAAGCATATCCAAAGAGAGCAGAACTTAACTGTTCTTATCTCCCTGCCAAATATAGATGTAAATATATGAGGTAAAGGATGTATTCATTAACAGTTGGGAGAATTCCTTTCACGGTGTATCAAATATCACTATATACACTTAAAATGTATTATAATTTTATTTATGAATTATACTGTGATAAAGCTAAAAATTATAAAACACAAAGGATTTTTTTTCAAAGCAAACATAAAAAAAAAAAAGTAGACATATAAGCAAATCCAAGGAGGGAAAGGTGTGGACCATGAACCACGCACGGTCAGAAAGCAAAGGAAAACAGGAAGTTGAAGGGAGCGCCCAGCCCAGAGAGGCTGTACAGTTGGGGAGAACCCTGGCTGGAGGAGGTGTTGGGAGCTGTAAAGTACAAGGGCGCAGAGCAGAGGTGGGGACTAGGCCCAGAAGGAGAGACTGAATGCCCCAAAGAATGGTGCTTGCTTCAGTTTTGTCAAGAGCCAGCCTTCAAATGATCTCTGAGAGAAGGTCCTAGAGCCTTGATGAGGAGAGCCTATGATGTCAGCACCCGGCCTTTGTGACATAGGCACTAGGTGCCAGGGAGAACTGCTCCAGGAAATGGGGTTCCCAGCTCCCAAGGGGGGCGGCAAGGCCGCCCCTTAGACCCAGTCTCCGTCTCCCAGAGGCTTTCACCAGCTGGCCCCACTGGACTGCTGCTACTGAGTGTGAAAAGCCACCTGGGTCGGGGCCAGGCTGAGTCAGAGGACATCAGCGTCAGGGAAGACAGGGACTAGGGCCACCAGAGTGCCACAAAACCAGGATGCTCGCGGAGTCTGTGACTTGGATTTAAGAGAACGAAAACCTGTAATAGAAGACCTCCTCCTGGCTGAAGGACTGAGGGCAAGACTCAGACTAAAATCTGAGTCAGAGTGAGTTTAGGGTGACAGACGCTGGGGGCAGAGAGGGGCATACCCACCATTTGTTGACTGTATTTCCCTCTCTCCAAGGTCCCCTCATCACTGAAGTGCCTTGAGAAACGGCCCAGGGGAATCTTTATTGGTAAGAGTTCCCAGGACCACAATACCCTCAATTCCTAGTTCCATCTCAGTCTCCATCTCCCAATTCCCCTCTTCTAACTCCAGCCTCTCCACCCTCCCCTCCCTTGCCTCTCCTCTCCTCCTCCGTCTCACCTTCTCTGGAGCTTTTTGCCAGCTCTTCTGACCCCAGAGGTGATATGGATTTAGGATCATGGCAAACCAGCCTGTACATAGTACATAAGCCAGAGTCAGAAATGTACCCAGTCTCCCTGTGTCATGGACTCTGTTTCTTTCTCTACAGATCCTATGGGCTGTGTCTTCCCCCGTGGCCCACCCAGATAACTGTTGCTGCCCCTCAGCTCCCAAGAGGCAGTTCAGATCCTCCATGCCCTCCACCCCTCATCAATGGCCGGCTGCAAACAAGTGAGAGACCACATTTAGAGCCAAGCTCCTGCCCGAACACTCAGAGAACCTGGTGCTCCAGGGCTGGGTGGCTCCTTCGAGTGCCACCTAGAGCCATACCAACACCAGGCTGGAGCCACATTCTGTGCACAGAAGGTTTTGACTTCTCAGCCACTTCAGGCTTCAGAGATACTGGTCTTGCGTCTGCCAGGTCTCTCATCTCTGGTCTTGGCACCCCAGTCCCTTCCGGATTCAAGGCAATGTTGCCTCCAAACAAGGCCCAGTTGCTGCTACGGAACACAGCGTCCCCTGGGCGGCCCCCTCAGGGCCCCTCACAAACTGCAGACTCCCTTTTCTATAACCTACAACCTCAGCCTCGCCAACAATCACTCCGCTCCACCCAGCCATCTTGCTCTCCTCCCCCACGGTCCCACTCTGCGGGCTCCCACCTCTACTCTTCTGACTCAAATTCGGACTTCATCCTACATCGCTGCTCTTCTTCTCTCTCAAATTCCCCCACTTTCTTTCATCAGAATTGCCTCTCTCTCTCCCCTCCCTGTTCTTCCTCGCCTTCCCGCCGGCTATTCCCCTCTGCTACCCTCACGCACTCCTCCTCGCCCTCTCAGCCACAGAACTCCTCTTTCCCCGGCTCGCCTTGCCAGTCGCCTTTCCACCTCGAAGATCTACCTACCTCCACTCTCACATCCCCGAGCCCCAACCCACCTTCTCGTGGGGTCCACTCTAATGGCCAGGCATGGCACTCGCATCAGTACAGGAAAACCAGGTCCCCTGGGGAGGAGGGGGTATGCGTGGCAAGCGGGAAGGACCCTACAGAGTTCAAGGACCCAGGAGCCCTGGCCCAGGCCCTGGTGCTCCGTCTGGGGCACCGCCGTATTGCCCACGACTTGCAGCTACTGCTTTTGCAGCGCCTGTGGCTAGGCCAAGCCGACAAGGCCCCGGTCGTGGAGTACCCTGTATGCCTGGTGTGTCTCCAGCTCCGCACCCCCTCTTGCCCCATCCCCAGGTACAGGACTGGACCCAGACTGCTTGCTTTCCCCCAGCTGCTGCCCTGTACCCAGGGCAAGGAATCCGGACCGCTCCGCATGGGCATTGGCTTTGGCCTCTGCCTGCCTCAGGGCCAGGCCAAGGCCCTACATCTGCTGCCAAAAAGAAAGCCGGAGGAAGCAGGGCCTCAGGCCACGGCTGCTCAGGCCAGTGGGTGTCAGGCCCAGGCAGCTCAAGCCCCAGCAGCTCTGGCCCAGGCAGATCTAGGCCCAGGCACCCTCTCCCAGAACGGGAGCCTCAGGTCTGTAGGCCGCCAGTCACTAAACTCCACGCGCCATTCAGTCTCCAACTCAGGCACCAAAACAGGCTATGGTCCACTTGAAGCCCAGGCCTTCCTCTGCCCCAAAGAGACCTGCCTCTCCAGGGCCCATTCCCCAAAAGTCACCACTCTAGTACCAGAGCCACGGAGGACCCCTGGAGCACCTCCTCTGAACCCCACCAGCCCTGCCCGGCCCCAGACCTCAGGGAGCCCCCGAGACACTCTGAAGGGCTGGCTGGCTGGAGGTCAGGTGTGTTCTCCAGTCCTGAACCCGGGGAGCCCCTTGTGGAGTCTGCTTTCTCCTGGCTGAAGAGGACCAAGGGCATCTGAGGCCCCACTCAGCCTTCTGTGTATCCAATTAAAAAAAAAAAAGCCTGACCCTGCAAAACTTGTGTTTGCGTCTTGCTGAGCAGATACTGTGGGTGGCTGTACCTTCAGGGTGACCAGAACCCAACAAGGGGTGCAGGAGAGTCAAAGTTAACAGAATGGTCAAGGAGAGTGCACGCGCTATATCTGAAGAGGTCAAGGGACCCACAAGACCTGAGCAACTGAGAGATGCAGAAGGCTCCGCCAGGCCCTTCATACATTTAACTCAATTTGGTGGGACAGTTAATGGCATCCCCAGAGATGAAGCCACTGGGTCCCTTCCTCTGGTTGCACCTCAGATTAACAAAGACTCATGCAGGGAGCAGCAGGAGGTGTTCCCTTGAAGGGAAGGGCAGGCCTAGGGTTCACTGCAGAGAAACAGGGAATCCCCACATTGGATGGAGATCAAAAACCCAAGGGCCCTCTCAGGAGGCTGGGGTGCTAGGCAGAGACCTTCAACTGCCTGGGGGCCAAGTTGCCTATCTGCCCACCCTGAGGTGCCTGGAGTGGGTGTGGAACGTTGAGAATGGCCAGCTCCCACCTCTGCAAACTTCCTCTGCTACTGTAAATAGTAGCTTCCTCATACTAGGAAGCGGTGGCATCGGGATTTGAAGCCAAGTTTCAAGTTCACGCTGCCGCCGTTTAAGAGGCAAAAGAGCCAGGAGTGTGACCTTGGATAAATCACTTTGTCTCGGGGAGGGGCCGTAAACATAAGGGCTACGCTTGACGAGTCTGCATGTCACTCTTGAAGTGTGGACAGCCCTGATCCGAGGATTTATTAAAGGCTTATTAACCTCCCTTAATCTTTTAGCCTGCCCCAGCCTCGAGCCAGACATTTCCGTGAAGCGGCCGCCCGCCTCCACCGCCCCGCAAAAAGATGGCGTAGTTTGCAGTCATCTGAAAGCGGAGAACGGAATTCACACACCCGGGTTCCGCCAGCCTGAGGCCAGCTAGTGCTGACGCGTATCGGCAGCTCTGCGCCTGCGCGAGGAGAGCGGGCTAGGTGCGCCTGCGCGCTGCGGGTCTGAGAGACCGGGTTAGACTGCCATGGGCAGTGTTAGGGATACTTACAGTGTGGCTAGAGTTTCGGCAGCTCGGCGGGTGTGAGAAAGGTCTGGAGTCCTCCCGGCAGCAACCCGACCAAGGTCCACAGCGGCCGGGACAGCAGTCGAAGGCCGGCCGCGGCATGTCCCGGGGACCTCGGCGCCGACAGTGAAGCGCGCGGCGAGCGGGATGGGTCGGCGCCGGACGCCAGAGCTGTACCGGGCCCCGTTCCCGTTGTACGCGCTTCGGGTCGACCCCAGCGCGGGGCTGCTCATCGCTGCGGGAGGAGGAGGTGCCGCCAAGACCGGCATAAAGAATGGGGTGGTGAGTATACAGGCCCGCTAGGGCCGGGTCGCACAGCGGATTGAGGGCGATTCCCGGAGGTCTGGGAGCGGGCCGCACCCCCGCTTCGGACCCTGCCCCTCCCGGGTGGGAACGGCGGCGTGCCGGGCGTCCCGGCACGAATTTGTCTTGAACCATTCACTGGTGAATTGAGGGGCTCCTAAGGTTAAAATGAAAACTGCACACAGCGCTGCCTAGGCAGGAACGCTTCAATTGGATCTCAGGAATCAACTCCAGGGGTCGTAACCTGGCTTTCTTGGGGAGACTACATAAGACTTGTCTGTCTGCCCACTGGTAGCGGCGAGAGTGAAATATAAGCTAGGATTCTTCACTCTTTTGAGAGTTATCATGTTGTTCTGCAAACTAGACGTGATAATTCCAGCCTTGCTTGCTGTACACAAGAAAGTGGAAAAAAAAGTGAAAGTGATAGTCACTCAGTCGTGTCCGACTCTGCTACCCCATGGACTGTAGACCGACAGGCTTCTCTTTCCATGGAATTCTTCAGGCAAGAATACTGGAGTGGGTAGCCATTCTCTTCTCCAGGTGAGCTTCCCAACCTAGGGATCGAACCTGGGTCTCCTGCATTGCAATAGATTCTTTACCGTCTGAGCCACCAGCGAAGACCAGTACACATGCTGCTGCTAAGTCGCTTCAGCCGTGTCCAACTCTGTGCGACCCCATAGACGGCAGCCCACCAGGCTCCCCCGTCCCTGGGATTCTCCAGGCAAGAACACTGGAGTGGGTTGCCATTTCCTTCTCCAGTGCATGAAAGTGAAAAGTGAAAGTGAAGTCTCTCAGTCACTCAGTCGCGTCTGACTCTTAGCGACCCCATGGACTGCAGCCTACCAGACTCCTCCATCCATGGGATTTTCCAGGCAAGAGTACTGGAGTGGGTGCCATTGCCTTCTCCACCAGTACACATGAGTGAGGCTCAAAAAAGAAAAAAGTTTGGAAAAAGTCTTTAAACTAGAAAATGCGGGTAGCAGAGGGGGTGGGGCTTCAGACTACAGGATGTAAGTTTGCCCTTGAGGTGCTCTCTGAACCTTGCTTGTCCTGGTTCCCTCTCCCACAGCACTTTCTGCAACTGGAGCAGATTAATGGGCGCCTTAGTGCCTCTTTACTACACTCTCATGACACAGAGACACGGGCCACCATGAACCTGGCACTGGCTGGTAACATCCTTGCTGCAGGGCAGGATGCCCACTGTCAGCTCCTGCGCTTCCAGATCCATCAGCAGAAGGGCAAAAACAAGGCAGAGAAGGCAGGTGAGAGCCTCCCTGCTAGCTTTGGGCAAAGGGTTAAATGAGTGAACTCTTGCTCATCTTGGTCTCTGAAGAAGTGGGACTGGAGGTGGGATTATGGTAGCAAGAGAGAAGCTGATGTTGGCCACTGGAAAGTTCAAAGCCCAGTAGGACTTACTCTAGAAGCCTGGAACCTGGCAGGCTGTTTGTGTTGCAGGTTCCAAGGAGCAGGGGCCTCGACAAAGGAAAGGGGCAGCCCCAGCAGAGAAGAAGTCTGGCGCTGAAACCCACCAGGAGGGGGTGGAATTCAGCGTAGAGAATTTGCAGGAAGTGCAGACAGACTTCAGCCGTGATCCACTGCAGAAAGTTGTGTGCTTCAACCATGATAATACCTTGCTTGCCACCGGAGGGACAGATGGCTGCATTCGTGTCTGGAAGGTGTGGTTTGGGGAGGTGGAGGATGAGTGTCAGTAACAGCAAGGCCAGAATTGTGAGAAACTGAACCTGGGTCCTGGAAAACTTGTGCGTAAAGCCTGCAGCGAGTGGCCACTAGTAGAGAAGAGGAGTGGGTATCATTTGCACTCTTGCCGGGTACCTAGGCTGACTGTGGTGGTGGTTTGGCTGCAGGTACCCACCTTAGAGAAGGTTCTGGAGTTCAAAGCCCACGAAGGGGAGATTGAAGACCTAGCTCTGGGGCCTGATGGCAAGGTGAGGAGGTGAGAGGGTGGAGAAAGTAGGTGATTATGCTGCTTGTCCAGTAAGTGGATCCCCCTAACTGTCCATCCTTGGAATCTTGATCCCTGAATAGTTGGTAACTGTGGGCTGGGACCTTAAGGCCTCCGTGTGGCAGAAGGATCAGCTGGTGACACAGCTGCACTGGCAAGAGAACGGACCCACATTTTCTAACACGCCTTATCGCTACCAGGCCTGCAGGTGTGAAGACCCCAGAGGGTGGCTTAAAGAGGCGCAGCCTAGATGTGGTGGGGGAGTGGGAAAAGGCCGGGGGGAAGCTGGCGGGGAGGGGATCGGAGCCTTGTCGGGTGTTACCCCAGACCTGACCATGGTGCAGGAGGGCACAGACCTCTGAGGAGGGCTGGGCAGGCCCCGGGAGCTGAACAGCCTCTCGCCTGGCCCCCAGGTTTGGGCAGGTTCCAGACCAGCCTGCCGGTCTGCGACTCTTCACGGTGCAGATTCCCCACAAGCGTCTGCGCCAGCCCCCGCCCTGCTACCTCACAGCCTGGGATGGCTCCACGTTCCTGCCCCTTCGGACCAGGCCCTGTGGCCATGAAGTCATCTCCTGCCTTAGTGTCAGGTGTGAGACAGCGGTGGCTTGGCTGGGTGTGAGGGTGCCCGGGGAGGCTTGGGGAGACGTGCTGCCCACCTCCCTGGGGGCTCTTGTTGCTGCACAGGGCTCCAGGACAGTGAGTGTTTTTTTGTTTGTTGCAGTGAATCGGGCACTTTTCTGGGCCTGGGCACGGTCACTGGCTCTGTTGCCATCTACATAGCTTTCTCGCTTCAGGTAATGGATGGACCTGGGCATAGCCTTGAGGGCTCTCTGGGGTAGAGATTCTAGGCCTCCTTCTTCACTGAGTGTGCACAAAGGTGTCGGGCCCAGCCTGTAGAGGGAAAGTCTCCGGGTAGAGGGTGTGTTTTCCAGAAGGAATCTTCCCAACTGGGCTTTCCCTCACTAGCTTTCCTCTTGTCCCCAGCGTCTATACTATGTGAAGGAGGCCCATGGCATTGTGGTGACAGATGTGGCCTTTCTGCCTGAGAAAGGTCGTGGTCCAGAGCTCCTTGGGTCCCACGAAACTGCTCTGTTCTCTGTGGCTGTGGATAGTCGTTGCCAGCTGCACCTACTGCCCTCACGACGTGAGTCCTTGAGGTGGGGTAGGGGTACCACTCTCCCTTTAGCTGGAGCAGAAACTTGCCCCCTGGAGAATAGGATGCTTATCTATAGTCATCTGTCCCCTCCTTGAATGGTTCTGTTCTCTGGGCTGCAATGCCACCCCTTTGCCTTCTGAATTCTTCCCTTCTCCCTCCTGCAGGAAGTGCTCCTGTGTGGCTGCTGCTGCTGCTGTGTGTTGGGCTTATTGTTATGACCATCCTGCTGCTCCAGAGTGCCTTTCCAGGTTTTCTTTAGCCTCCCTGCTCCCAGGGAACCAGGGGCCTGGACACTGCCACCTTCTAGACCAGAACGGAGGCCTGGACCCCACTGCTCACTCCACCTGGGTCTACAGCTGAGGTTGCCATGGGTGAGACTGATGGGCAGTGCCTGCCCTTACCAGTTAAAGCCTGGCTCTGGCCCTGTGCAACCCTGAGTCCTGGGAACCTTGCGTTCATCATCTGTGGATCCGCCCAGGACAGTGGTGTCTGAGGGCCAGGCTATACCACTTGCCTCCTTCCCTCTGTCTACCAGGGGCTCTAGAGTTGAGCTTGAACTTTTTCTCCAGAAATATGTGAAGATGCCCAAGAACTTGGAGGCACTGCTGTGCTGTTCTTCCTGCAGAAACAATCATTTTCTCCTCGTACCCCATAGCCTTGTGTCCAGTTGCTCTTCACATGAGCCCCTGGCATTTGCTGGGGGCCTGCACTGGCCTGGGACTTGCTATTAGGGAAGGAAGGAGCAGAATGAAGATCCAGGCAGTAATCTTTGGGTTCCACTGGGTAACTCCAAGCCCACCAGGCCATATGCAGTAAGTTCTGGAGAGTCTGCCCTAGCCTTGAGGAAAGGGAAAAGGAACTTCAGCCCATTTGGCAGGAAAAGTTGATATTTAATAAACAATGAAAGACTGAACTAAGACTCTTGTCAGCTCTTGCCTGCCTCTGAAGGGGTGGGTGACCTGGGGCCCGGCAACTCTGCTGGGTGCTGGAAGATGGCTTTGGCGTACTGATGCAGGAGGCGGCTCATATAGCAGTGCTGCCAGGGAAGCAGTCCTTCCAGGAAGCCGATGTGGCCGCCCCGGGCTGTGACTAGCAGTGCAACGTGGAGAGAGTGTTGGGCAGCCTGTAGGGGAAGGGCTGGGGCGAGGGGAGTCAGAGAGGAGGTTAGGAGCCCTGGCCTCTGCCGGGAGTCCAGGTGCTCTCCACTTGCACCTCACACACGGCCCATTTCCCATGGGGCCTAAAGCATCTGAATCCCCGGTGCTTACCATCGACGGGGGAGAAAGGGTCGTCAGCTGCGTTGAGACAGAGCACAGGGATCTGGATGGCATTGACCTTGGTTCTTGGACTGGCTGCTTGGTAGTAGGCAGCACAGTCTTGATAGCCAAAGACCACAGCTGTGTAGCGCTCATCAAATTGGCGGATGGTGCGGGCCTGCAGGTGGTGGAAGGCAGGATAGGCTAGGATGAGGACAAGGGAATAAGATGTGGGAAGAACAATACGGGGCAGAGAGGGGATAGCTGGAAGACTATACCTGTAGGACGAAGTCAACATTTACCACGTTTTCCATTACCTTTCTGTTTCTGCAAAAGAATAGAGGTTTGGCTCTGCACCTGGACCCGACCTGGAGCCACCCTTGGTCTTATCTCGAGGGAGAAAAGTACACATGCAGAGCTGACCCGAGCACCGGGAGGACCTGGCATGTGTGCCATCCTACCCTGTTCTCTGCCCTTTGCTGCTCGTCAGGACCCTACCGGCTTATGACTTGACAGAGCCCAGCAGTGAGGCGGTGATTGAAGAGCAGTGAGTTCATGGGGGTCTCCAGGGAGCGGGTGGTCTCAAAGGAATCCCAGCACGCAGACAGAGTCAGTGCTGCCACCAAGCCTGCTGCCCGTCCCGTTCGAGCCAGGTGATTCAGCACTAATATCCTGCAGGGTTGGACCGGGCCGTGAAAGAAGGGATTGCATTGGGGAGTCAGGACTGGAGAGCGGGAGAAGATGTGGAGGAGGGAAGGGGAGAAGGAAGACTGGGCCTTTGGGTTAAGTGAGGCAGTCTTTACCCTCCAAGAGAGATGCCCACAGCCAGCAGTGGGGCTTGGGGGTAGCGACTCTTTATGTGGTTGATGACTGTCGCCAGATCTTCAGTGTTGCTGGCACAGAAGGCCCTATGGGTCTGAGGCAAACCGGATCATTGGGTAGAGAGGGGGGCCTTGGCCAGAAGGCAGAAAAATGAAAGGACTCAAGAAATGGAAGATAGGTAGGTAGAGGTGCAGGACCCAGGATATCCAAAAGGAGTGAAGGACCACTAGAGGAAGGAGGGTACTCACCAGCAGTTCTTCCCCACGGCAGCCCCGGTTATTAAATACAACAGCCCTGTGGCACATACAGGTACGTGTTAGCCAGACCCTCCCTCCAGCCTCTTCTCCCCTCTTGGTAGCTTTCAGAAAGACCGCAGTCATAAGGTGCCCTTCATGTGGCACCTTCTCCCCAGAGCTAGCAGGGTCTGAATTGACACCGCCCCCACCCCACACCACCACAGACACACAATTACTAGTTATCAGACATCACCCAATTCCTCTGGGCTGTTCCCATCCTTACCTGTAGCCATCCTTCAAAGCTTGATCAACTAGGTGCAAGATATATGTCTCCTGACTACTGCCTGTGATGCCAGGAAGCAGTAATACAGTGGGCTGGGTGCTAGGGTCGGGGTACTGACTGTTAGACTGGCTGGCCCAGTCTAGGAGGAGCTGGCCTCCATCTGGGGTTTCGAGAACTTCACTGTGGTTTTGGAGAAAAGGGCACACAAAGATAGGATTAGGAACTCCATGTACTTCAAAAGATTTTACACCTTCCTGTCCCTCCCCAAGCAGCTCCTACAATTTCTCATCATTTGAGGGCTCGCATTGTGCAAAACCTGAAGGTCATAACAAGGTATAATGGGGACATAAAAGGTTGAATATTAAATTACCTCAAGGTTGTACATAAGCCCTTCCATATAGCTACCCTGGTTACCCTCAGCACACTGAGGTAGATGGAGTGAAGGTTACCTCCATTTTAAAAGAGATAGATGAGGGACTTTGTTGGTGGTCCAGTGGTTAAGAATCCACCTTCCAGTGCAGAGGACGTAGATTCGATCCCTGGTCAGGGAACTAAGATCCCACGTATCATGAAGCAACTAAGCCTCCCTGTCACAACTACTGAAGCCCATGTACTTGAGCCTGCAAGCCACAACCTGAGCTTGCCTGGCACAACTGCAGAGTTCGTGTGTCGCAACAAAAGATCCTGGGTGCTGCAATTAAGACCTGATGCAGCCAAATAATTTTATTGCCTATAAAGATTTCCTTATACTTGCAGCTTCCTGTTCACCCCCATCTGTTCCTCTTACCTCGAGTAAGGGACTACTGGCCGGGACTGCAGTAAGACTCTGAAGATGGTTTGTAGCCGTCCCTCAAAACACCAGAGCGTAGGATAGAAAGTCTCCAGAGTGACTGGACAGTGTTGCTCCAGGAAGGCCAGAAATCGGGACCCAGTCACCAGCTGTGGCCTCTGTAACCACACAACACCACCGGCCTCACTCCCCTGATATTTGCACCAAGCCAGTGAGGTGCCCAACACCAGAGAGACCTCTTCCCAGAGGCCAGCCTGGAGGGCACTGCCTCATCTGGGGGTGAGAAATCCAGCATACCTCAATCTGGAGTCCCATTAGAGCCTCAGGAACTCCAGACCTAGAGTGTCACCTCTCCAGAACTGACCCTGAACCAACTTCGACACTCAGCCTATCCATGCCCCAAACCCATTTGGGAGATAGCAGGTAATATAAGTTTCCCAGCTGATCTCCTGCAGGAAATGTTAGGGTCCTGAGCAGAGACTGAAGAAATGCAGTACCACTCAACCTGTGATTTCTGCCTTGCAGTTGAATTATCCACACTCTCATCTCAAAACCATCTCTGGCCACACTGGCTCCTCCTAATTTTAGCACCCCATTGTCATATGTTCCCATCCCTTACTGTGCGTGCTTGCAGCTGAAGGGCTTCTTTTTCCCACAAAACCTCGTTTTCTTACTTAGCAGCCCCTGCTGTTGACTGTACTCTAATGGAGGAATAGTCCCAGTGTAAATAGATTTTCTCTTCCTTCCTGCCAGCCAAGGGGAAGGTAACAGTTATCAGATGAGGGGGCAGATGAGGTCAGTGGGCGCTTAGCCCTAACTTTCAACCCCTCTGTGCTTGGTTCTTCTGGATATACATCAAGTAAATGAGAGGGCCTTGTCACATAGAAGGCTTGTAAATGGGGAGTATGCTGTACAAAGACAAAAGGTCTCAGAATCAAAAAACAGAAATGGCATTTCTGTTGCAGGCCTGAGGGGACCTGAGGACCAGTCTCCTATCTCTTCCTGTAGTCAAAAGGGACTAAGTAAGTGATGAACTCGAGAGGCCAGGTTGGTAGTATGACTGTTGTGACTCATACCTTGGTTCTTAAGACCTGGAATAATAACATCTGTGATTCACTATATGCTATTTGCTAGCACTAGGCTAAAGCCAACCTTACTATAAATGAAGAAACTATGACAAAGGTTAAGTTGTTTGCCCAGAGTCACACAGCAAGCAAAAGTCAAAGTGGAATTAATAATATTAGGCAAAACATTCTTTGGCATAAATCATACCAATATTTTCTCAGGTCAGTCACCCAAGGCAATAGAAATAAAAATAAGCAAATAGGACTTGATCAAGCTTACATCCTTTTGCACAGCAAAGGAAACCATAAACAAAATGAAAAACCAACCTGTAGAATGAGAAAAAATATTTGGCAAAGAATGCAACCAACAAGGGCTTAATTTCCAAGATATACAAACGGTTCATACAACTAAGCAACAACAAAAATAGACAACCCAATCAAAAAATGGGCAGAAGACCTAAATAGACATGTCTCCAAAGAAGAAATGCAAATAGCTAATAAGCACATGAAAAGATGCTAAGCATGTCTAATAGAGAAGTGCAAATCAAAACTACAGTGAGGTATAGTGAACTACTACCAATCAAAATACCATCATTAAATGCTGTATAAATAATAAATGCTGACAAGGATGTGGAAAAAAGGGAACCCTCCTACACTGTTGGTGGGAATGTAAGTTGGTACAGCCACTATGGAAAACAGTATGGAGGTTCCACAGAAAACTAAATCTAGGATTACTGTATGACTCAGCAATTCCACTCCTGGGCATACAGCCACACAAAATTCTAATTCAAAAAGATACATTCTATGT